GCTCAAGTGTCGATTTTTTGGTGTTTAATTCGTAGAGAGTCTGGCGAACTTGACGAAGATTTTACGATATATTGTGTCACTCTATTCAATTCTCCCCTTGTAGTATTGCATAACCATTACGGCGAAGTACCCAGGAGAGCAATGCGTCACACGATCTCGAATGCGCCCCCAAATCGCCAAGTCCCGTGAGCACAGAGAGATGGGATGATGAGGGGGAAGACTTTGGGGCCGGGGTAGCCGGGGCGATGGATGAAGCAGCACGAACTTGGAAGCAGTAGTGATTTTCTCTCAGCTGGAAAGCCGTGGACCAGGGCGGCCGAGGGGAAGCAAGAGAGTGCGAGAGAGCGAAGCAGAAAACCACCTTGGGCCGAATGGCGGGCTGTGGTTTCATGCTTACATTACATTGCATGCTGCAGGCGACTGGAGAATACTAGCTCTCAGCCGTTGGTCTTTTTCCACTCTGCTTCGCTGCCGTTGGAGCGCAAATTGACTAGGTACACTAGTAATACTGGCTGAATCGTTGTAGTCAGAAGAAGATGGGACGAAGGACCACTTGGTTTGCGGGCTTGCCTTGACATTTTCGAGAGCCAAGAATTTACCGTTTGGTTTGATGCGACGGTGGTGATGGAGCTGCTCAGGGGATTTCGGGAACAGCGACTAAAGATAGCTCGTAGGGCAGAAGGGAAGCTGCAGTGACGGGTGGGTTCCTCTAGCAATGTCTGTGCCATGCGTGCTGGTGTGATATCATTGCTTTGAATTGGCAGATGATTGACCGAGGTACCTTTTCGTAAAATGTCACCGAGTCTCAAATGTGCGTGATGAGACCTTCACCGAGGTAAAAGGTGACAAGTCGGGATGAAGGAGAAGGCGGGGAAACCAAATCACATTCTCTCCCCTACCGCTTCTCTCTGCGACTCTCTCGCTCTCATTTTGCTTGTCTCATCGGGCGACGTCCGACCAGCTAGGTGAGGGGGATACCTCATTACATGACGATTACTGGTTGTAACCCACTTCTGCCCAGCTACGCCCAGCCTTGGATACTGTGCCGTGAGTCGTGATTTACTAACAAGATTGTGGCTGTAAGCCTCCGAGTTTATTGATGTGGTTTCTCACGATTGAGGTTGATGAGTGAAATCGTACGCAGTATTGAGTGAGTGAAGGTTGAGTGAGATGACGAAGTGGCATCCCCCGCTTGGGTCAGGTACTTTCCACTACCAGGAACACAACAACATCGATCTTGCCTGTCCTGGGCTCGTCCCAAAGGCTAATGTGTCGAAGTGGGTGGGAAGGAATGCCGGGTGCTCAATTAGCTAACCCACTTCCCATGGCAATTGGGTACGGATACGCCGCCAGCCCGTTGTCGTTTTTTTCCTTTTCCTTTTCTGCGAAGCTTTCAGCCAAGGTACCAGGTTGGTTCCCTCTCGCCTGGCTCGCCTGGTTCAGCTCCCATCCCATTCCCTTGGGACCGATCATCATTTGCTCATTGCGCCAAAAGCCCGCACCCATTTTTTCTTCTTCTTCTCCATGCGCCTGTCCAAAGCCACCACCACCAAAACACCAACACCTACACCTACACCACAAATTGCGACCACGCTCGAAAACGCCCACGATTCCGCGATCCCCAAACCCGAGGCGAATGAACGTACCAGGAGGACGAGGACTACCTAGGAACTTGGAAAAGAGGATCGGCAGTTTCCAACGGATCCCTTGCAATCCGTGTCCAACTCGAGAACTGCAAGGCGGGACAAATCCGAAAGCAAGCAAAGCAAAGCAACCATAGCCGAACTCAGCCCGCCGGCTACCCGCACGCGACAACCTCGTTTTCCCTACCACTCTGTCTGCAGAAACCCGCCACGCCCAATCTTTTGCGCAGACACTCGAGAGTACACCACGGTCGATTAGCATTATTCACCCCCGGTGTCAAATGATCTGCGAACCCTCGTATACTGCGTAACCTTTGAGGTCCAATGGGAGCCGCTGCCCCATTGAACTGATTCCGAGCCCGCCCTCCACCACCACCACTCCTACCACTACCACCACCACCCATAACTGCTGCCGTCACCCGTCCTGGGTTTCTCGCCATGCCAGATAACGGCAAAGACGTAAAGTCCGAAGCGCAAGACGACAAGGAAAAGCGTGACAAGACCGAGAACAATGGTGGCCATGCTCACTCGGCCAAGAGCCCCAAAAAACGCCGCAAGGTCAACCACGGTATGTTGAACTCACGTACAGCTGCGCGCTGTGTCCGCGGGCTCCCTTGAGACTGCGATTGCAGCTGCTGCAGCGACTCTCTCTCAGTGCCGCAAGTCGTGCGGAAGCACCAGCTAATGTCATGTGCCATCCCAGCTTGCGTCTACTGCCGGCGATCTGTAAGTCAGATAGCCCTTACCCAAACAGCATAACTGGCATTGCTTCCCCGGCTCCGCGCATGGTGTTGACACTATCATGTCTCTGCGATTGCTGCCGTGCGATGATTATGCCAACCAACGAAACCCCTGACTGCATATACGCGCAACTTCGTCTCCCTGCAGAAGGAAACCTGCAGGGCCTGAATAAACAATAAGCGGGAAAGAGAAAAGATGGCTGACGGATAGTGTCTTGCCTGCTTTATAGCATATGACATGCGATCTCGTATGTAAGATCTCTTTCTTCACACAACCTTGACACATGACGGGCTGCCTTGCTGCGGCGTCCGTTCATATCTGTCTCCCCGCGCTGTCCACTCGGCTTCCTGGAAGCCCTGCGCGGGCGCGAGCGCGCGCATGCCGTTTCTTTGGCTCGTACCACACCCGCTGACATGTTGTGCTTAGGAACGACCATGTACAAGATGCATCAAGCGCAATATTGGCCACCTCTGCCACGATGAGCCCCGCGATGCCGATTCCAAAAAAGCCAAGAGCTCTCACGCGCCATCCGCTGTCGACGAGTCCGAGACGACGCAATCTGAGCTCACGAGAAGCTCCATCGACCAATCTGCGACCGGGTCCATGGGCCCGCCGCCCCCTTTCGACCGCAAGGCGTCTGCTTTTGGCGCCGCTGTACTGGGCCAAGGGAACCCGCTGCACCTCGTGTCACCGGGGGCAGGCACCGGCATGGCGGGAAACGGCAGCAATGTGAATCAATGTAGGTCTTCACCCGCGGGCTTGTTCTCCCCCTTTTCCACAGTGTCGTGCTGTTCGTACTTTGGGGCTCCTTGCTCTTTTTGCACGCGTCTGCGCTCTCTAGGGAGTACAGAAGGACAACAAGCAGCCTCAACTTGAGAGAGACTCGGAAGCTAACGTGATGCGCCCCGGTCGAACAGTCGCTGGATTCTCCGATGCCTGGTTGACGGCCCAGAACCACTACCACGACATGCAAAGCTATCACCCCAACAACTACTTGATCGCCCCCGAAGTCACGCACGAGTTCAACCTGTTGAATGACTTTCTGCAGACGAGCTTGCTGGATGACGGCGGCATCGTCTCCGACGAGTCCCAAAACAGCCCCGCTTTCAGCAGGACCGCGGGCGCCAACGATATGCTGCCGACGTTTGGAAATCATAATGGGAATAACCGGGCCGGTGCTAGCAATGGCAATAATGCGCTTTCGCAGATGCTGCCTCCACAGAACCTGGAGCAGGGCAAGGCGATATCACGGCCAGGTAGCATCGTTCAGGGCGACAAAGACAAGGCGCGTGAATACTACCTCCAGGCGGCCGATCCGTCAGGAAATGACACCCCTGAGGAGCGCATGGACCGTGTATTAAAGGCCAAGTACGAGGCCGGTCTGCTGAAGCCTTTCAACTACGTCAAGGGCTACGCGCGACTGGGCACGTACCTGGATGGCCACATCGCTGCATCATCGAAGCAAAAGATTCTGCGAACGATTGATCGATTCCGACCCAAGTTCCGCGAAAAGGCGCAAGCTCTGACGGATATGGAACTGCTCTACGTGGAAATGTGGTTCGAGAAACAGCTCATGGAGTACGACCGTGTATTTGCCAGTATGGCGGTGCCAGCGTGTTGTTGGCGGAGAACTGGAGAGATCTTCAGAGGCAATAATGAGATGGCGGAACTTCTCCACGTGCCTGTGGAGAACCTACGCGATGTACGTGTTGTGGTCATTTCAAGCAAGTCACGTTGCAACTAACCAGATCATAGGGCAAGATCTCACTCCACGAGATTCTGACGGAAGAGTCTCTCGTGCGATACTGGGAAGAGTTTGGAACCATCGCCTTCGATCCCGCTCACGATACGTTACTTACAGCCTGCACACTAAAGAACCCAGACGACAAGGCGACAGACCCGGTGGTTCATTGCTGCTTCTCATTTATGATTCAACGAGATAACCACAAAATGTTGGTATCTGCCCACCCACTAGTCTCGCGCCTTTTGAAGCTGACAAGTAGACAGCCCTACGCTCATCGTAGGTAACTTCTTGCCCAACGATCCAGCCCGGCCGTGATCGTTTGCATTGCAGGAGAACCTATTGGACTACCTTGGTTTTTTTTTTTGGGGGGGGGGGGGGTTGGAAACACAAAATCAAAGGGGGCAGGCGTTATTGGATACCAGAGCATTCTCCGGTTCGGTTGCATTTTTGAACGTTCTTTTGCATAGGCGGGAGGAACGGTCCACCGCCAGTACATAACAGGCACATCTAGTATAGCCTTATTTTCTTGTTTGAAGCCTCAAGTTATCGCTTCCCATCATGTCCTTCAGGTCCTGTTCTTTCCGATCCGGGTCAGAAGCTTGTCTGGGGGGAGTAACCCCGCGTCCGGATACAGGTGCTTTCGAGGAAGGCGCATACGAGATTTATGCCTGTCACGAATGACTTGGCACTTGCCACTTTCGCAACGTATCACCTCTCGGTCTTTCTCAACCTCTTCGTTCTTTCCTGAAGGAAGTGAAATGCTTTCATTGTCATGCACTCGTAGCCCAATATTCGCTCTCAACTTGCTCTCCACGAAGTGAACACCTGGTTCACATGATCTCGACCTCCTAGGTCTGCCCTCGCCAAGCACAATGCCCCCTCAACGGAGCGCAAAGTCGCCCAAAAGCAACAGCAGCGTTGACAAGATCAACTCATTCGCAAGTCCGTAGCATCCCGCAGATGAAGCTTGCGTGGTCTGCAAGCTGACCTGTAGTCTGAAAGCATTCTCTCAGGCCCTCTCGACGCGCCTCCCCTCCGCAAACGATACCCTCTCCATCGACGCCCTGCTCGTGGAGCTCAACCCCCAGCTCGAGACTATTATCCGTTTCTCTGTTAGTCCAAGAACGAAATCCCAGAGGGCGGAACTTGACAGGAGGGGGACGGAGCTTTGGAATTTGTGTACCCGACAACGTCGTGAAAATGCGGACGGGACGGCGGCAGCACCGGCTGCGAGGAAGAAGCTTTTGTTGCGGAGTAGGACGTATGCTTTCTTCATGATTAGCATCGCGAGGGGCGTTCCGAGCGGCGCTGAGCCGCAGCTTGCGGATGTGATACATGTGATGAAGTTGGCGCTCAAGGCGGGGAAGACGTGTCTTGGTAAGTTGGGAGTTTAGCGGGAATTCTTGGGACGAAGAGGAAGATACTTACATGGTGTATAGATGAAGGCGGTACCAGCTCGAGTGCTCTGAAGCTCGCCGAAACTGTGTTCGAGAAGGGGGCGGGATACAGCGCGACATTAAGTCAGCTACAGGCCAAAATGTTGGGACCGGATGATTTGCAAGAATGCAAAAAGCTGGACGCTGAATACTTCATACTCCGAGCAGCACTGGCAAGTTCGCTCTTGAGTTTGATGGTGCGGCCGCTCCTATAGCTGACCGTGGAAGATAGGCCTGGAAAACGGATAACTTTCCCGTCATGGAGTTCATGTACAGCAAGGGACACCTCCAGCCGAATGCGCTCGATCCTACTTCGGCCGAGAAAATGACACAGATATTATTCGAGATAGGCAGAGACCTCTCCAAGAAGGAAGATTTCGGCATGGCGGTAAGGTGGCTCGAACGGGGGTACGACATCATCAACGCCCAGGACCTGTCGCTTCTCTCCCGCGACGCTATCGAGCTGCGCCTCTCCGTCTGTCAAGCCCTGATTCACGCGCTTCTGGGCCTCGGCACGCCAGAGTCCTCGGAAAAGGCGCTTGACCTAGTCAGCTACATCGAGTCCGAGATTGGCGAGAAACCTGTTGTCCTCCTCCTTCGCTTGGAGCTCTTACAGAAGGCGCCGGCCGAGATATTTGACATTGAGGCCTATGCTAATATTCTGAGGCGAATGGTGCGTTCTTTTAACTTCTCCGAGGCGCACTTTAAGCTCTTGGTTCATCACGCACGAAAGTTGCATGATAAGAGCCCGACGCTGGCGACGAGCGTCGTTGATGGGATGCTTAGGGGCACTATTGTTTCTTCTGGACGCGGAGAGTGGGTCGAGAGACTGGTATTGTTGAGGATATGGATGGAGACGACGCAGAGAGATGGTATGATGGCCATAGAAGAGCTGATGGGGGTTCTGGTAGGCGTCCAAGATAACCTGAGTGAGCCTTTCGGGGCTTCTACGGCAGTCGGAGCTTTGACTGTGAGCTTGATCCAAGGAAGATGGAAAAGAAGCAATGCTAATATTGGTGCAGCTTATTTGGAAAAAGATCGAAGTCAACTACAATCAGGGACACTTCGACTTCGCAGATGGCTGGTGCCAAATAGCCCTGCAGCCTCTGTTCCAAAATGGCGGACCTGCGAATATGTCGAGACTTGGCAGGTGTGTATCTTCGCAGGAGTCTCAAGCTACGTACACTGACGACCGTAGAAAGCTCATTCTCTGTGCCCTTGGAAGAAACAACGCCGAGAGGGCGCGGCAAGTCTTTCATGGCATGTCCGAGACAGCGCAAAACGAACCGATGACGAGGTACCTCATGTACAAGGCTGCCCTCCGCTCATCCGACCAAGAATTGGCTGCTCAGTGCCTGGAAAGAGTAGCTCTCTCAGCACCAGAGGACCCTAATTTTCTTTATGCTTGCGTCCTCGAGGCGCAACAGGCTGGGGATAAGGTCTGCGCGATGCAGGCCATGAAGCAGCTGGTGGAGAAGTTCGAGTTCAGCGAGACGTCTCCGATTCATTTGCCAGCGCTGTTGCGGTGTAATATCCGACTCGCTGTCTCGATTGCCGAGAGCGTAAAGGGGGCTAGGGAGCGGCAGGGTACAGTGGAGGAAGTGCTTGTGCTTTTTGAAGGAGGTGAGAGTGCATTATTCATCGGAGTCCATCACAGACTTATCATGTCGTCTCTTAGCTGTCGAGGCAATCCAGCGAGGCCTCAGGGACAAGGATGGTAACCGGCTGTTCACCGTCAAGGAACTCGACTGGTTCTGCCAGAACGCGTATAACCTCGGCCTCAAACACTCGGACAGCTGGGACGTAAAGCATCTTATCCGACTTTACAACAGCTGCCTCGCTATCGCGAAGCATTATCCAGAGGATCTCCCTGCTGAAGCTGCGAGTGACCTCGCGTTCAGGACAATGTTTTGCGAGTTCATCGCGGCCGCTGCTCTCGTATCGCTCGCCCGGACGGAAGACAACGTCGAGCAGCAGCTCCAGCATTATCTCATCATGCGGAGGCATGTCGTGGCGTACAATGCAGCTCTGGAGAAGCAGATGAGCGATGGTCTGGATACGAGGCTGAAGAGCGATCTAACGGCCAAGCTGGCAACTTTAATGGTGTTTGATTTTGAGGCTGCCATGGCATTGAAAAAGACTGATGAGCTGGGATTCATCATCCGTACGGCGGTGACGTGTCGGGACGTGAATACGCTCAAGGCGATGGGTGACATTGCGCTGCGAGGCAGATTGCCTGGACAAGGTAAGCAGCCTAACCCACCACGGATTGTTTTCCATCATAGGTGGCTACGAGGAGACCGTTGCTTACCATGCCGTGTTTCCACTGCTCGCAGCTCTCTATTCCACACTAGGCGTCATCGTCAACGAGATCTAGGAGCTCGAGAAGATGAAGGGCGACAGGCTAGCAAAGTACATCCGGTGCATGTTCCACGCCGTATTACCACTCGATGCGGCGCTGGGGCAGAGGCTGATGAAGCAGGCCGTCGACGTGGCGAGGGATTCTCGCAAGGTGCGTTTGTATTTCCTCTGCTGCTCAACCCCCCTCACCCTCCCCCCTCTTCGCTGTTGTTCGGCATGTTTTGTCAGGCAAAAACACTAAGAGCGATTTCACTTGACAGAGCCAGCATCCGTTCCCAGCCGAAGAGCTCGAGTGGCTCGTCACCGTGGGCTTTAACCAGGCAGTGGACGCTTACAATGTCCGACATGACGACGAGTGCAATACGTGGGCGGATATGGCGCTGAATTTGGCGCATTATGCTGATGACGGTGGGGAGTTGGAGAAGACGGTGCAGGAGAACCGGATGAAGTTGAAGTTTGACTTGCCCTGAGATTAGTAGGTCACAGAGATATGGTCGCTCAGTTGATGACCATCCCAAGTAGATCCAATGACTGGTGTATTCTTTTCTCCTCTACAAACCTCTTGTGCAAAATACAAGTGCGAGAAAAAGTAACACCGTTCCTTTCCTCTCGTGTAGTATATATCCCCAACCGCCAGCCTACGTTACCCAAACCTTGTTCAGCCTTGAAGCCGTCGTAGTTGCCCCTGCCGCCACCGCACCAGTGAAGCCATCGTATGCGTCGTGTCAATCGTTTATTTCGTGCCGTAAGTAGTTTGCGTCTTTATGACAACAACCGCGGAAGGGCTTAGCAGATGGCATGCGTTTTGCCAGTCTTACCCTGTAGGGAATGCTTTTCCTTCTGTTCAAACACGGTATGGTTAGTGAAATCTCATCCTGGGTGGGTTCGCGCGGGACCCGGGGGTTTTGGGGACAAACTCTGAACTTTGGATGGTTGTGGGTTGACTTCGAGCTGGTGAGGTGGTGCTTGTTGATGTACTCCTGTTGCCTCTTGACACCGTCCTGGTCCATCTGCTCGAGCAAGCCCATGCAGAGCTTGATATCGGTGATGAGGGCGTCACAGCGCGACTTGGAAAAGTCCTCACGGACGACGACGCGAAGCATCTTGAGATCGTCGGTCTTGGGCGCCATGGTGTAGGCGGGCACGACCCAGCCACGGACACGTAGCTGGTGGGCGAGCGCAAACTCGTCGTAGTGGCGGACGCCCGGCTCACCCTCGGCGCCGGCGGGGACTTCGGGAAGGCGGAAGGCGACAAGGGGGAGACCCTCGCCGGAGCGCTTGGACATGATACGGAAGCCGAGAACCTCGAGGGACTGGGAGAGGTAGTCTGCGGTGCGGGTGAGATTTGACATGATGGCGCGGTAGCCCTTCTTGCCGAGACGAATGAGCTGGTAGTATTGACCAATAACCTGTGAGGCGCCCTTTGAGAAGTTGAGGGTGAAGGAGGCCTGGTCTGCGCCGAGGTAGTTGATGTTGAAGACGAGTTCCTGGGGGAGAAACTCGGCAGAGCGCCAGACAACCCAGCCCACACCGGGATAGACGAGGCCGTACTGTAGTTTGTGTGTAAGTGAGTGAACCAAGAAGGTTGATACTCGGTAATTGAAGCACGAGAGAGGGAAATTACCTTGTGACCGGAGACATTGATGGAGACGACATTCTTGAGGCGGAAATCCCATTCAAGATCAGGAACGACAAAGGGAGCGACGAAACCTCCGCTGGCAGCATCAACGTGGATAGGCACATCGAGGTTCTTCTCGATCAGCAAGTCATTGACAGCCTTGACGTCTTCGTACTCGCCCGTGTACGTGGTACCCAGGATGGCGCAGATACCAATGGTATTCTCGTCAATTAGGTCGACCGTCTCCTTGGGGTCAATGACGTAGCGATCGGGCGCGCAGTAGACGAGCTTCTCCTCGACCTCGAAGTAGCGGGCGGCCTTTTCCCAGCAGACCTGGACGGCGGAGGACATGACAATGTTGGGGTGCTCAGTGGACTTGCCCTCGGCCTGGCGCTTGTTCTTCCAGCGCTTCTTCATGGCGAGGACGGCGAGCATGATGGCCTCAGAGGAGCCGACGCATGAGGTGCCAACGGCGCCTACGCCTTCGCCCGCGCCAACGTCGGCGTGGAAGAGCTTGCCAATCATGGAGACGCAGCGGTTCTGGATGTCTGCTGAGGCGGGGTATTCTTCGTAGTCGATGAAGTTCTTGCTGAAGCTCTCGGCCTGTTCGTGGGAATACCATTGTTAGATTTCGGGATCTGGGTTCGTGTATGCGGTGCATAATGAGGGAGAAGGTGTTGGTGAGTATTTATTTACCATGAGCTTCTCGGCTTCTTCTTCCTGGGGCGGGGTGTTAGCTCGGAATGTCATTACGGTTATTGGATTCGTCAAGTATTCACTCACCATGTAAGTTGTCACAAAGGAAGCCAGGCTATGAAGACGGGGGTTAACGATGGCCAGAAATGACAAGAGATTCCCGCATATGACGAAAGGAGAGGCCTACTTGAGCATGGGGTTACCGTCGAGACTGAGCTCGTCTTTGATCATACGGTAGGCGACCTCCTTGGGCATCTCGCTCTCGGGCATCTCGCTCTTGGGAAGATCCTGGTTGGCGAAGCGAGAGCCATAGACGCTCGTGGTGTAGCAGTCATCGTGGTCGGCGAGCTGGAGCTGGACTTTCTTGAGCTGCTGCTGGACCTGGCGGAGGCTGGTGGCGGACGAGTCCTCGGCGCCGGAGGCAGAGCCAGAGTCTGGGGGCGTGTTGACGGTTGTGAGGTGAACCATTTTCAAGTGAAGAAGTAGCGGAGGGTGTTGGAGTGAGAAAACTGTGGTGCGAGGAGAGAAAGGGAGCTTTGAGCGTGGTGGGAAGCGGACGGAGGAGGATGTTTATATGAAGTCGAGACCGTTGACCTTTTACTGGAGCCGAAGCTGGAGCTGGAGCTGGACCTAGAGACTGGGCCGAGGCGAATGGACAGGTTGGAGAGAAGCAGAATGGGAGAATCTGGGAGTGGGAGCGAGGGGGAAGAAGGAGAAGAAAGAGAACAGGAGGAGGAGGGGCATTCACAGGGCCAAGCCATGGAAGCAACAAGCGGAGCTGGGAGGGCGGCCGTGGCACTGCGCTTGCATCTGCACCTGCACCTGCAAGTCTAAGGCAAGGAGCTGGAACTGGAACTGGAACCGGGACCAAGGAAGCTACCCGAATTTAGCTACCTACCTATCTACCTTTGGTACACTTGGGTGCTAAATGAAGGTAGCTACGCAGCTTGAACTTACATTGAGGTACCTTCTGGAGTACATTCCTGGCGGGGTGGACGGCAAAGCTGGGACCATGTCAAAGAGACTTGACAGCTACAGTCACAGCTCCATCCTCACCAATCCCATGGCCCATTCCGTCCACTTCACCCAGCCCAATGGATCGTTGAGGGAGAAAGGCCGAGAGAACCGGATATGGAGACGTGGAGTGGGAGCTCTGGGAAGAGAGACCGAAAGAGAGAGGGCCAAGGCCAATGGCAGATGCAAGTGGGGTGACACCGTGACGCGCGACTTGGGGTGCCCTGAAGCCGGCACGGATGGCGGGGGGCACAAGACGGTGTAGAACGGTACGTACTGCCTTACATAAGGCGCAGCTACATACATCATTGACAGAGTCCTTGGCAGGTACTCGAGAGTAAACCCGGTACATGCCGCCTCCAGTACCTCACCTCGCATGCGTAGCGTACTCCGTACTTACAGTATCGACAGAGAGTTGCAAATCTGCTTAGTCGAGACACGTCTAACCGCTGGCCTCCCCCCTGATCGGTGAAGAATCTGCCTAGTTGTAAGGTACGGATAGGATGGGACGATGTGCCGTCACCTTGTTCCCCCGGAGCCATCCAGGAAAATCCCCGAGCAAAGTGAAAAAGACTCGGGCAAAAAGGGGCGCAGGAGAACAATATCCGCAAATCAGCACCCGCCAAGAAAAGAAGTTGAGGTTCTAATACCTTATAGTACCAACAGAAACGGGATGACTCTGGGATGTTGCCGCGACATTCTGTTGCCAAAAGCACGCGTTTTCCATATGAAGCTGCGCCCAATGTCTCTAAATCGAGGTAAGGTATGTACGAGGGCGGCCTCTCTTCATCTCCGTTTACTCCTATTCACTCTATCGCTCTTCCACGTCTCTCATCCTTCCTATTCAACAGTCTACAACACCTTTCCCCATGTCTCGGCTCTCGAGGCGTCACAGCAGACACACACACACATGCGTATCCAAGGATCCCCAAGTCCCAAAAACGACGCTACGCCCAAAGCTTGGCACGGGTGACATTTCGGGTGGCCCACACCAGCTGTGAGCCAGTGGTCCAGCGAACCTCGCGCGCCCCACGTTTCGCCCAATCGTCAGCCGTGCCGTTCTTCCCGCCACAGAGGGCGGTCCCTCCCTGGTCTCCATCCAGAAGTCCAGAGTCCAAACGAACCTGAACCTTGAAGCACATCCATCCATTGCCCGCTACAATTCTCTCACTCTCCACTGGCATCCGCTTCATCGACGAGATCCCGTCGATGGTCTTTCAGCTCACTCATGCGTTGTTTGTTTCACCGCAGTGATTGGAGATGTTGAAAACCGGGGGATTGGTGGACACTGGGTAAATCGGCTCGGATATCAATGCCTAGCACCGTAACACAGCCCTGGACCCCGACGGGGTCACGGCAGTCTATTCTTTTCGCTGAACCTTCACGTAAAACAAATCGATACAGTACCGGAGTAAGAAACGAATAGGAGAATGGAGCACAGCTACGCGAAAACATAAAGAAGGTCAAGGATGAAACGGGTAAACAAACACCTCAGCATGGAGTGAGCCAGACGGGGAATATCAACAGCGCCCGAGTTTTCACCCTCCGTTGCCCAATGACATCATGACCGCCTGTTCATCCCCAAATCACCTCAGCCAAATTTCACCCAAGAACCAACAATACCAGCATCGGGGAGAAAGACAACATGCCATTTCATTTCCTCGCCCAAGAAACCCGGTCCCCTAAAACCCCGAACCGCCAAGCAGCCATCACCCAAAAAAAAAAAAAAAAGTTCCAGACCGAACATGACCTGCTGATTGATAGTCCGAATGAAGAAATTCCCCGTATCCACTAAAGAACAACACCCCCACGGACCATGGATCATCATCACCGCCTCACCCTCCCACGTCTCCCGATTTCCCCTGTGGCTGAGCTTCACCCATCCCGGACACGACAGCCGCCATCCGACAGCGGCACGAGTGGTTCGACTTTTGTTTTTGCCCACATCCGCAATCCGTAATCCCTCAATCTCTCTTCACGATTTACCCAGCTGCTTGCTACCTTACTCCAAAACTTCGCCTCTCGTAATCTCGGTGAAGGACACCCCCAACCCGGTCAGCAAACGTACCCCAATACAGTAACCTGTACAACGCATCATTCTCGCCTCTCTTTAACTTCTTCGTAGTACCCTCATGCCCGGTGAAGCAAGTCCTGAATCTCATGTTGCCCCAAAATTGACCTTTCGGCCCGGGCTCTCCACGGCTTCAATTTCCCCGTTCGCTCATCTCACCCTCGAATTCCCCAGCTTCCTGTTTGCTCACTTTACTGAAAACTGCTTCGTCTTCAACTTCCGGTAACGCCGGGTTGGCCTAAGGTGTCTGGGCTATTCATCTGCAGTTTCGGTCGCATGTTGAACACCACTTTGGGCCTCAGGATTCTGCTTGATTCGAGAGCTGATTTGGTTTCGCTGTCACATATACCTGATGTCTCGCTGTATCTAAGCCTATGCTATCCGCAGCATCAGACGCTTTCATTCTCAGCGTTCGCTTTCCAGAGACGTGCTATGCGTCTATCCCAGGCCTACCATCTGCCTGTGCCTGTCTGTGTCCCCGTCCTTGGAGAGGAGGACCTGAACGTCTAATCAACGAGAATGCCAATGCCCCTTTGCCTTCCAGTCCTCATCATGGTGCCGTGTCCCGTTCATCAGCCTTCCGTTGTATCCATCGCATCGCCGCCCGTTGCCCTGGCCTTGGCCGCCGCAATCTTCTCCTCCCTCCACTTCTGAATCTTCTCCTTCAGCTCAGTGTGCGGGATGGCATCATCCACCGTCATCGGCTGTCGCGTAAAGGGATCCTTGGGATCCGACAGCAAGTGCTGCACAATAGTTCCCCGATCAACAATATGCTTCGATGGCAGGATAACGGGATCCTTCATCAAATCTCCCATAATCGGGTCTTCGAATTCGGCCGGGATGTCTCCAAGATCCAGCTCGGCCTGGTCCGCAATCTGCTTCGACTCGAGGAACTTGGCCATCAACGTGTCGAGCTGCTCGAGTTCAACGGCCTCCTTCATACTGCGCTTTGAGAGGATGAATCTAGCCTTGTCAAAGACCTCGGGCTTATACGAGCGACCATCCGAGGCAACAGCGTCGATGAACGCTTGCGATGAGCCCAAGTTGAGGTAGATGTCGATGAAGTCTGACAGCAGAACCCTTGGCTGGAAGTGATATTTGGTTGGATTGTTTACCTTGAGCTGACCCATCTTGGGTCCCGCAAGAGTCTCCAGGTTGTAGTTAAGCATGCTTGCCAGACGCTGGACAATTTCAGGCATTGTAAATGCTGATGTCAATGCAGATGTAAAGAGCTTCATCATCGCTAGCGTCTCATTGGCCAATTGCATGTATGAGCCCGCCTGGCCCTCCAATGCTGTCAACTCCTCTTGCTTCTTCTCTCTATCTTGCGTGGATAGCGTGTTGCCAAACTCCAACTCCTGTTGTAACGTATGGATCTTGGGGAACTTTGTCAGTGCCTCGTCAAGCACATAGGTCGCGTCATTGAGCAGCAAGTTGACGAATTGAACAAAGAATTGTCTGTTAACCCTGCGAGTTGTTAGTCACCCATACCGCACCCTGGCTAGAAGCTGAAACAGACAAAACTTACTTGCTCTCTCTCGTCAACTGCTGCTTGTACACATCATTGCCCCAAACGCACTTGATAACCTGGAAGATCTCGTATCTGATGTTGAACTTGTCGTAGAACTGGGTGTTAACACCAGTCGACTCCGCTTCGATGTAGAATTTCATGAGGGCATGCAACAGGTTATCGTTTGCAAACTTGGATCCGTAGAGCTGATCTCCCAAGACACCCTTCTTAAAGTGCGAGAATGGCCAGGTGCCGGAGAAGAGCAATGTGACCAAGGACGACTTGAGGTACGGGTTCTTGATGTACTCTGACGAACGCAAGAAGGCGATGCAGAGCGCAATCATCTCGCTGCCAACAGCAGACGGCATGATTTGAGGAAGGTAGCGGTACACAAACTTGAAGTTGTCAACCACGTCCTGGAGCGCATACTCTGGCAGGCACGCAAAAGCCTCCGGGGCCTGAGCAGGAAGGGGAAGTTGAAGATCCTTGTCGGGGGTGTAGCTGGACTGGCTAGCAAGGCGAAGAAGCCACACGGCCACGTATCGCATGAAGCGAAGAGACAGTTCTTGCATCTTCTCGTCAAGGAAGATACCCTCGATCGCGTACTTCATTGCGATTGCCTTCTCTAAGACCGTAGTGTGGCGCTTGAGTGTCAACTCAAACATTGCAAGCTGCTGAGGCTGGTTCTGGACTTTAATCCGCTCAGCTTCCATGGCAGCCAAATGCTTTTCATACCACTTGATATCCCTTTCGAGACCCTTGAGCTTCGAGTTTGTTGCCTCACTGCCGTAATGGTGCGCAGCCAAAGTCAAGAAAAAAACCTCTGAAATGAAGTTTGAGCTGCCCTGAGATTGAGTGCCGTAGAATGCATCTGACGTCGATTGGTCGGCATTGAGCTTGGTCTCTTCCTTGATGTCCACACGGGGGTTGCGGCGGAAATACTCCACTTCGATCCTGTCGACCTTTGAGAACGTTGTGTCCATGAAGGGAGAGCAGAATCGGTCCAATACGACAGTGAGGTTCATCATGAAGCCATCTGAGGACACCTCTTTGGGGTCAACCTGGAGAGCTCTACGCTTGTGATTGCCGTTGATAGCGGAGGCGAACCAATCGAGTACCCGACTCCGGGTGTCAGTGTCAGCTCGGATAAAGGCATTAGCGATCGTGAAGAGCTCATCCTGATGGACTCGCAGAATAGCTCGCAGAGCATCTTGGGATGGGGCAGCCTGGGTGCGGTTCAGGGCCCGTGGGTTCGGGAAGTATGTCATTGTCACCTCGGTTTGCAAGGGAGAGATGCGGAAGAAGGGTCCCAGGATCGTCTCCTTTTCAACATGGGATCCCAGCTTGTGAGCGGTCATGAAGTTGGGATGTTGTGCCAGTGCATTTAGCAGAGGAGGGAACTTTGTGTAGGACATCAAGGCCTATTCAAGTGTCAGTTCTGTTTGTACCAAAGACTGGGGCAATGGCTGAGAGATAGGCAAACTGGCGTCGCCAAGAAAAACTCACGCTGATATACGGCTTGTAGTCATCTTCCATGGACAAAGTCGACAACTTAATGCTGAGTGTGTGCATGGCTGTGGCAAAAGCAGCTGGGAATTGCTCATCCTCGGGAAAGCGCTTTACTGCCTCCCGCAAGAAGTCCAAGCAGACTCCATCGTCCTGCTCATGTCCTTTGAGCAGGTAGGTGACCAAACTCTCGGGGCGTGATCGTCTAGTACCACCTGTAAGCAATTGGAATGCTCAGAATGGGTCTACTTACCCAAAGAGATCCGGGATTGTGAGCGCAAACAAAGCGTTGCTAACACACAGTCTCTTTGCCTCCTCCAGAGCCTCCCTCTTCTCTGCCGTCTCTTTGAGTATGTTTGTACGGATGATGCGTTTGAATGAGGGAAGTAGGTAGCCGAGAAGGGGCTTGTCGGCGGGAATCGCAGTGACGGCCTCAAGCAAGGCACTATCGAGGATGGAGGTTGTCAATTTAAGCGGCGATCCGTTCTCTTGGAGCTCTTGGCTAGCTTCCGGCAGGAAGGTAAGCTTGTGCCCGTGGGTATCGACAACTCTCTCTGGGTCGACTGTGATCCGGAAAATATGGCTGAGGATTCGATCTGAAAAATCTTCCAATGACTCCTCCACATTTGCCTTTTTTGCGGGAGCAGGTGCAGCTGCGCGGTCGGAAGCAATTCGCTTGTGGTTCTCGGTGTTGTTCGATGCAGTTGGCGAAGATGTACCACTACCGGACTTGACACCAAGCTGGTTGAAGGGATTCGAGGCGGCAGGCTTCGGTGTAAATGAGGGTGTTGGACTGGCCGGGGCCTTGGGAGGCTTGACTTCGCTCGTTGCGGAGTTTGATGTCTCGGCGTCTGCTGACGATTCTCCTTCCGGCTTGGGGGATCTTGTCGAGGAGCCAAGCTTGGCGAGCCGTCGAAGTCGGATCTAAACAGACTGGTCAGATTGTTTTCTATGAGCTCAAATGATGACCTCAAAATCCCGAAAGCCGTTGCCTTCATGTGTTCCGGGTGACATGTTTGTCGATTGCGCTCGCCACAATGGGTTCTCTGCTCAATCATCCGTATTGTCATAGTGTGCATAGGTCGAGTAGAACGGCGGAGAGGCGAGAGCGACCGGCGAAAGCAGTTCGTGCCAGACCGGACGTCTATATAAGGCGTGAGGGCAGAGTGGGAATCGATGAGGTTCGAGAGTAGGAGCACTAGGACGAGGAAGGTGAGAGGACGAGGGGCAGACAGCTCTTACATCGTTCATCTTCTTGACGTCGGGCGCATCGGGCGCTTGGTTGCCCTCGTTTGGATCCATGGCGGGCGGTATGGATGCTTTTAAGCGATGGTCGTAGTGAAGCAATCCGTTTCTATCGAGGCTAGCAAAGGTGCAAGGTTGAAGTCCCCGGATTGAAGGTGGGTTGGCTGGACGTTAACGTACAGGGCCTCGCGAGTTGAGGTCAGGAAGGTACTGTACCTAAGTGCGTCGGTGGGCAAGCGCAAGGTACGAACGGCCAGGTTGGTGGGGGAGCAAGCCAGGCAGGCGGTTACTGTGGGGCGACAGCGGACCTGTGAGGTGCCACGGATGAGTCCCTGAGGCTGTTAAGTCCGACTCCGATAAGCGGAAAGACCCACCAAGAATCTCAAAGTCCGCCGCCGTGGGGATGGGGGCCAATTACTAAGCTCAGGCTTTCCTGCTCACCTCAGGTTTTTGGTTCCAAGAGATTCGACACGACAGGTACAGAGTAGGCATCAATGATTCATGAAACGTAGCTTTTTGGTGTTTTGCCGACCACTTGAATCGCTTGGTTTAGCTTATGCATCAAAAGCTTCCGGATATCCTTATGTAGTCAGCAATATGGGGATGCCGCCAGGGGAACAGCAACAAAGCACAGGATGGATGCTAGTACAGACTGCCTTTGCGCTACAGACCGAAGGTCGATCGAGCTCTGAAGACCCCTAAGACCCTTATTTTGATGAATTTCTCCCTCAATATGAAGCTACTGAGGCTTCAGATGAACGGAGTGAAACCTACGTCATTGGTGTGGCGATGGAACCCTGGGAAACCACCATTCTAAGGTTTGCTCCAAACATGTGGATACGGGATCTATAAATGTGCTTGCTTCATTTGAAGGGCTAACCAAAACCTTGAGCTTTGGTCATGATGAACGTTAATGAGCACAAGTCAGTTCACACGTGGGACAGTAGAGATAGCATTGCAAAGCTGCCTCCTTGTGTCAATTAGACTAGATACGAGACTACTTGCGTGTAACTGGGTGTCTTGCTGAACTTGCAGACCACCACAAGGGTATTTCCGTGCCTTTCCATTTCGCGTTTCGTTCCTTGGTCCCCGTATGTCCCCAACGCCAGTCAAATCAACAATTTTAGTGGTACAGTCAGACTAAAGTCTGGAAAAGGTAAGGACCCCATCCAGGTCGGGGTTAAGCTGTGAAGTGAGTAGAACGGAATGCGTTGCATCCGTTCTTGCTCATATCTTGCATCAGCCAAGGCTCACCCCTCGCAACCATCCAAGATTGCTCTCGATCTCACTTGTATATGCAAAGATCCCCAAGCCCCAAGGACTGAGCATTGTTACCAAAGCCCAGTCCAGGGGAGATGTCTCAAAGGCGGGGGATGCCATTTGACCCATCACTCAGCCGCCGAGATGTACTCGGAGTAGTGGCCTCGCCATCGCTGTCAGAGCTGCCCCTCGTACGGCTGGTGCTACCAACGCTACGGTTGGCCAACCGGCTGCGCTCGACTTCCTCTCGGCTCTTGTTCATGAGCCATGCCATGTGCATCTTGAGAATGCCCAAGTTGCTCCTGATCTCGGTGATCTGATCCTTAATCGGCATGACCTGGTTCAGGACCATCACTGTCTGACGGCCCTCGAGGTCTGTAAACTCTTTCTTGAGCTCCTCCATGCGACGTTCCATGTCTTCGTAAATAGTCATGACAGCCTCGGTGGGTTTGAACTTTGGTCCGCCTTGGACGTTGTTGAGGTTGAATACGTCGTCCCAGGAGATGCAGTCTCGCCGCTCGTCCTTCATTGCCATGATTTGTCGCTCCTGGTCTTCCGTCTGCTTCTGCAGTTTTTCGATTTGTTTCTCTTGTGATTTGACCTTTTCTCCAACGACAGCAACCACCCTGAAGATACACTCGTCTTGATGAGTCGCTAGTGTCTTGCGAAGTGCCTCGTGCTTGCAACCAAAGTCATGATATGTGCAAGGGACCGAGGTTTCCGGGCACTGTTCGTCGCGATGTTGTCCCAACTCGGAGAGCTTGATGGTCTCTCCACACTCAGTACAGTCCGTCGTGTTTTTCGGGCACACTTTGTTGATGTGGTCGGCCATCGACGCCGCTTCCATCTTCTCCTCGCAGTATTCGCACGTCTGCTCAAAGTGCCAGCACTTGCCGGACACAGCCAACCATTGCTCCACCCTCTTATCACATGTTTTCTCGGGACAGTCGTGCAGCGTGTATCGGCAACTGATTGTGTGCTTGACGACCTCGTCGCGCTTCATCTTTTCGCCACACCCTCGCTCAGTATTGGGGCATTCGACTACCAGGCTATCGAGGATATTCGTCAAAAGTCTCGACGTCTTACAGTCCCTGGCTCGGAATCTCGTCCGGTCGATGGGGCAGGTATCGGATGAGTGAACATGGCGCTTCAGACATTCCAGACAGAAGGTATGGTCGCAGGGCGTAATGATCGGGGTGATGACGGGCAGCTTGCAGATTGGGCAGAGTAGGTTATCGTCGGGTTCTTCGACGTAGTTGAGGGCGGAGAAGTCGAGGAGATCCTTGACGTGACTAGGGCTAATGGAGTATCGCAGGGCCTCCCGGGTCGCAAGTTCTTCGACGGGCCACTGGGTAGGAGTTCGTGCTGTTTGTCTAGATGTTAGCTAATTGGACTCGGAGCTAGATCCGGGTAATTTCCATCAACTCACGCGTCAAAGGGATTGGGACTTCCTCAACAGAGCGCACAGCATTCTCGACAAGGTTGTGTACGAGATGGGTGATGGCCGCATCTTCGTTGGGAAAGCCTTGGTGCGACATGGTGCAAAACTCTCCGCTCGTTATCGGTCGGGGCGCGCTCGGTGTAGCAGAGAGGATTACGAGATGTCTAGGAGGACCATGTTTGGGACCAAAGCAGCTGAGGGAGGGGGGCCAAGCTGCGGTGTTTTCCTTGTGAAGTGGTTCGGGTGGTGACGGAGGTACGGAATTTGCTGCGGTTGTGGGTATTGTCTGGTGGCGCAGAGGGCGATACTCCGGGGATCAGGCGCGGGTGAAGAAAGTGGAGGTTTAAGAGATCCAGTTGAGGCCCAATCTCCAATCCAAATAGACTCTGAGGGAAGCACTGGAGGCTTTCGGTAACAGGTGGGAGGGTGACGTGACTCGAGCCGAGGGTCCACGTCCCCGATAAGCCGATAACGCTCAGGAAACGGCCGCTAAAACGCCGTGTGACTAAGCTTCGCACGGCTGAGGAACACAGTCCCCGCACATGGCATTGCCTGCCAAATTGCATGTGCTCGCTTTGGCCGATTCCTCTCTTTCGTCATGAATAAGATGTGTCGTACATGGAGAAATGCAGATACCCATATACCCATTCCCGATGATGACGTCGATTGAGGCCATTTCAACTCGAACCAACATCGCAAAGATGAAATCCCATTCATTCTACTGGCGCCGTGAACTGCATGGCTCCACAGTTCGACCTACGCTGCTTGCCGGCACTTACACGGTATCTAGCTCAATGAGTGAAAGCCTAGGTAGGCATTGACAAGGTAGGCCTGGAGAAATTCCTTGTCTGTAAACCAGGACTCGTGTTCAATAGCAATTCTGACTTCAAATGACTAGCCTTACCAATGAACCCATTCATCTACAGGTTTGGAGCCCATGTGTCTCCGCGCTCCCAATCGCTACCAACAGGTGCCTCTGGTGTGCGTCTGTAGGCGTCCGGCAGGATCCCCTCGAGAGCTCCCTTAATCTGCAAAGCAATCACCTTTGAAAACCATCGATGCTGAGCCGTGCCACCAGCAAAGATCCAGAGGTTGTCAACTCCAGGGTGCCTCTTCCAAAGCCCACGAATCTCGCCCTGGGCGTCCACGCCCCAAGTAGGCTCAAGACGCCTTGCAATGTCCTCGGCTCCGATTCCCAGGGTATCTGGGAGGTTCTTTCGGCCATCAACGTTGCCGAAGCCAATGCACCAGACTATGGCATCCGCCTGCAGATTACTACCATCGGATAGCACCAGACCTTTGTCGGTGTAGGACTTGGGCACGACCCCAGACCGAACACCGGCCTTTTTCGTTGTGATGAGCTCCATGCCGCTGCCCATGTCTACAAAGTGTCCTCCGCAACGATCGATGAGGTTCACGAGCAGGTCGCCAGTCAGCGAGTCTTGCACGCGGAACCCTGCTCTTCTAGCTTCTGCATATCGATCCCTGGATAGTGAAGGTCAGCAAGGGGGCAGGATTACGATTCCTGGGGCTGTACATACGGCTCTTCCTGTGCCTGGATCCGATGCACCAAGCCCAGGAGGGCCCCACCGATGGCCAAAGGGCCTCCATTCACAATCACGTCCGCGTCGTCAGGGGACAGGATGTCGTAGACCCCAAAGCCCATAGGGTGAGCAAAGTACGTCATGGGAACGACGTACGTCTCTGATCGCTGTACCATGGTAGTCTTGAGACCGGCGTCGTGGCAGTCGACCAAGACATCGAATGCAGTGTTTCCAGAGCCGATAATGGCGACGGACTACGCCGAGGCAAGGAAGGCGTTAGCAAAATGACAGGTAGAGTTGTTTGTCATATTTTAGTGACGCCTTCAGTCAGAACTGACCTTCGCCCCCGCTGCGACTAGGTCGCTAGCATTACGATACGATTCCGAGTGGATGTTGGGGCCCTTGAAGGATTCCCTGCTCGGAAGATCTGGAAGGGGCGCGGATCCCGCGAAGCCCGCGCCGCCCGTGGCGAGGACCATGCATTTGCAGGATAGGGTGCGTCTAAGATCCCCCGTCTGTATCTCAATATTCCATGTCTTTCCCTCTTGATTGTACTGGGTTGCGGCGATTGTCGTACGGTGTAGAACACGACGGTCTAGGTCGAATTCCTTTGCGAAAGCGACCATTTGGTCGGCTAGCTGGTCTCGTGTGAGACCGTCATTAGAAGTCTGGGGATACGCTAACCCAAACTGTCAGTAATGATTCAAGAGTCCCTTCACTCATTCGGACCACGAGATTTGAGTAGGGATATTTCTCGTTGGCGTAAGAAGGCGACGAAGCGCCGAGGATCGCCCTAGGGTTAGGGTTACGGTCTTGCCTCCTTGGTCCCCATCCTCATCCGATACGTCCGCCGGTGTTTGAATGACTATAAGATACAAGTTTGTCTCTACGAGCTTGAAATTACTTACGAATGTACGGTGTCTCGCAGAATGACTTGTAGACGTGGAAACGCATGCAGTCGTATCTCGTCGCCCAATTATCCCCTACCCTTGCATTCCGGTCGATCACGACGTAGTCGATGTCTAGGGCCTTCAATCGAGCGGCCAGGATCAAACCTCTGCAGGAGTGTTTGTTAAATGCAGGTAATAGATTAAGCAGGCTCTTGTGGACTCACCCGTTGCCCCCACCGACGACCAGCACACTCGTAGAGATATGGCTGTCGTCCGTCACAGGAGTCGAAGGGACTCTGAGCAGACCCTCATCCTCGGGGAAGTCTTCGTACTCGGAGAGGTATGTGCTCATGGACCAAATCTTCCATTCGTTGTCGCCGGAGTCACGGCCGTTAGGAATAAGCATCATCTTTCCTCGACAGGAAGCCTTGGGAGATCCAGTCATGAAGCTGAATTCACAGTCGAGCCATTTCTAGAGGAGGGTAAATCAGCACCGGGCTAAAACACCGAAGGTTGTTTCCCTGTACTGACAAGTTCACTGGTGGCCGACAAAACCTGCGCCTTCTGAAACTGAAAGCCTTGGGCCTCGCGAAGCGCGAAGAGTTCCAGTAAAGCCGATGCAATGGCACCTTTGCCATTGAAAGTTCTGATGTGAGCTGTGAAAGATAGTGTATCTTTCCAATGACAGGATGGTTCGGCGAAGAGGGCTTCGATGGCATGGTGCTGGCGCTGCTGAAGAGCCTTTGAGAGGCACGATACCACGTCGTTTGCGATCTCCTCGGCGTTGATCATGTCCCAGTTGTCTATTAATTCTGCCGTATTAGGGAGCGTCTCGTAAATATCCCTCCTGATGTCGACCTTTGGAGGGTTATCTGGTAGCTCCATCATGGCGTTTACCACTGTTTGCTTTCGCCTTCTGGATCCTAGTTCTCGTTGAAATTTTTCACACCAAACTTGCAACCCAAGGAAGGGCAGCGGGAGGGGTAAGATAATATTTCTTATCCGACATCCTTCCATAGAGGATGAAACCTCCAGTCGAGTATACATGTGTGCTCTCCGAGTACCACGGACGTTCTCGCAGCAACCTGCAGGTCATATTGAGCGGCATCTCCGAAAGAGTATCCGGGATATGCGGATGCCAACGAGGCTTGGGGAAGGCCGTAAGACGATTCCTTTGTGGTAAGAAAGGTTAATATGTAGCCCATAAAGCAATGCAGGATTTCTTGGCGAAGTGCAGCATTCTGCTATAGTGCCTCCAACCAATTGAGCAGAATTTCAACAATTGCAGAAATGGCGTACACTTGGCTTGTGGTTGCATAGAGACGGTGTCCGTGATGATACCCTGACACAACATGTGCCCCAAAGCAGTACATTGATAGGACAAAAAGGCCGATGTATCTGACGAGTGTCTGCTGTACGCTCAGCCATCCCACCGTTGTATCCCTCGAGGAATTCATTAGTGCTTACCTTACCTATGCTGTGAAACTAGACGATTCGAAGGAGCAATAGCATTTCTTCGGACTGCACCGGCATTGAGGGGAAACATGCAGCCCTGATTCTAGAGGCAGTAACCATCCTTGCTAGAGGAAAAAACAAATAATTAGTCTTGGAGTGAACCTTGCTATACCGTGCTATCTACTAGTGCCTTTCTCTTATGCACAAAACGCCTCGATTGAGGGCGAACGCGAAGGAAACCGGTAATAGTCTGTGACTACCTAATCATAGTTACTTAGAGAGAAGAGAAGTAGTTAGTTATACTTGTCCTGTGTCTAATCGAGTTGGCTCTGCCAAGGATAGTCTGTTTTCGAGCCAATGAGGACTAGGCATAGGCTTGTGTACCTTGTGGTCTCTAAGTTTCGTCACACCTTGATTGACGCCTTGCGAATTACACGATCGAGGCTGACTTACCCTTCCTTAGTTCGGTTACTGGTACATGTTACTCTTTCCCACGTCATTTGCCAACACTCGAGTGTTTTGCGCCTTAAGACTAATATCGCCGATGTTGGATTGAATTTAGCAGCAATAGGCTAGGGAGAGTGGTAGATTAGATAGAGCACAACGATGAAGCTCCCCATCGGCCGGTTCCAGGCGCCAAGCTGCTTGTGACACCCCGCGACGCCCGGGATACCCTTGTTGACGAACACGAACGGTGGCGCAGCAGCTCCCCTGGCTGTTCGCCCCGGAGGATGAACGAATGGACGAATGGTACAACGTCATCCCACCACAGGGCCGGTGGTACAGCCAGACAACTTCCCGAAACGGCACCCAGCAAGACCAGCTCGCCCGGCCCAGACGTTCCGCCGGTTACGAACACCTCTAGGCAACAAGTTAACGACCTGTGTTTGTCTTCCTCCATACGCATAGTCTGTATGTACTCGCTGTACAACTCATCAGCTCCAACCTGAGGCGAACAACGAGTGACCCCCTCCCCCGCAGCTCCGCAGCTGAGCTTATCTTAGCTCCCTTCAGCTCTCCAACCCCTTCGTCTCACCCCAACTTTCGATCTCCAACAGCTTCCTCGGATCTCCCATCCGTACCTTCGTCACATCCCACAACACACAAACCACCCGTCACAGCTCATCGGACGCCGGACGGCTAAGTGACAAGATGCCTCCATTCCCTATGCCTCCCCACGATATCTGGAGCCAGGATGCCTTCCAGCACCCGTCCTACAACCCGACCACGATCCCCCGTCGGCCCCACCCCCAGCCCCAGCCTGGCGCAAGCAACAGCAGCAGCAGCACCCGCGTCAACGTCAACACCCGTTCCTCAGAACCTGGCCCCAGCGACGCCGTCACGAAGGAGTTCTTCAAACACTCAAGCGCCAAACGCGTCAACACCGACGCCCTCATCTCGAAAGCCCTCAAGGAACAGTACCCCCACCTCGAGCTGGTCGTCGTTCCTGAATCCCTCGGCTACGGCAACGGCTGCAACCTTCTCGCCTACGCTCAAGGCGGCCACGCCACGTTCGAGGTTATTGATGACAAGGATGGCAATAACCTGCCCTCATCCCTCGAATGGCTGCTGTACCTGCCGCCCTCCCGGCGCATGGACGGCAATCTCGGCGGTCTGGCTACGATTACGAATTTTGGCAAGTACCTGTACAAATGGCAGGACCATGAGTTCATCGTCTACCTCGTTGATGGACGCGACGGCGTGATGCCGTATCCGATCAAGAACTACTATGTCCTCGCGCCGCAGACCTACCACGTCGACCAGCTCGTTCTGGCCGCAGGGAAGTGGAGCAGCGACCTCCACGAAGAGGTGTGGGTGTTCGATCAGGGGTACTGGCAAAAGAGCCACGAGCTGTTCCAGAGCTTCCGCGATGCTTCGTGGGAGAACGTCATCCTGGATGAAGACATGAAGAAGGCGCTCATCGAAGATCACCTATCATTCTACAACTCAAAGGAGACGTACCAAAACCTCAAGGTGCCGTGGAAGCGCGGTCTCATCTACTATGGGCCGCCGGGCAATGGCAAGACCATCTCCATCAAGGCCACGATGAATATGCTTTTCCAGAAGGACATCACGACTCTCTACGTGCGCACGCTAGCGTCCTTCATGGGGCCAGAGTACTCTATCCAGCAGATCTTCGGCAAGGCTAGGGAGTATGCGCCCTGCTACCTCGTGCTGGAGGATCTCGACACCATTGTCACCGATGACGTGAGGAGCTATTTCCTGAACGAGATGGACGGCCTCAAGGCCAATGATGGAATTTTCATCATCGGCAGCACCAACCACCTCGACCGCCTCGACCCAGGCATCTCTGTAAGTTATTCCTATCGCGAATGTGTATACAAGTTCGAGAAGACTGACACGCAACAGAAACGCCCATCCCGCTTTGACAGAAAATACTTTTTCCCCGACCCCAACCTAGAGCAGCGCATCGCCTACTGCCACTTCTGGCAGAACAAGCTCAAGAGCAACAAAGAAATCGACTTCCCCGACCAGCTCTGTGAGGCCATCGCCAAGATTACGGACAAGTTTAGCTTTGCCTACATTCAAGAGGCCTTTGTGGCCGCCCTGCTTGCCATTGCGCGCCGCTCCGACCACCGCGGTAGCAGGAAGCGAGACAGCGTTGAGGCTTTGACGGAGCAGCTTGAGGATGACTGGCTTGGCGTTATCGATGACGCTGAGGATGACGGCGACTTGAAGAAGCTGACGTTATGGGTCGAGATCAAGAAGCAGATTGAGATTTTGAGGGACGGTATGGAGGAGAAGAACTAGATTCTGGCTCGATTGGTATCTCAGGGTTGCATAAGAATGGACATGGCTTTGCAATGATCGGAGTGTACAATAACAGCATAATTCGCAATAATTTGGAAAAAAAGACCAATCAAATCCTAGGGGTTGTTCATGAGTGGTATTGGCGCCGCTCCGGGAGTCGAAATCGCAGTAGTTGTACTGTCGGCAACTGGCCCACCACGTAGTCGATCGGCTGCCTGGGTAAAGAAGGAGTCGATCCGAAGACTGACCGGAAGAAGGAGTAACTCCGAGATTGAGTCGACGTGTCTTTTCAACCGCTGCAAGGTGTCGTGAAAGCTCTCCAGCAACTTAAAGGCTGATGTGATGTCTCCAGGCTCAGTTGCCAGCACAAACAGGTAAATGATGAAGTTGCCGCAGAGTATGAGCTGAGAGCGGGCGTCTAGGGAAGCCTTAGATGTCAATACAAATTCTCTCGACTTTGTGAAAAGGTCTGGGTGAAGCGGAAAGGAGACGTACGGCAGCCCCAGAAGCCTCGTAGGTCCATAGGGGTTAGTTCACTCATGAAGTCCGTGAAACTAGCAAAGTCTGAAAGTGCCGTGCCGAACCACAGGCGAAGGCTGGATGATGGTATTGCCTTGGCAACCTTGGTAGCTGGATTCATGAGGGCACGGTAAAGAAGCGCCAAGTGGGCGTAATACGCTAGATGTAGGGGCGCTACCCCCGTCAGATTAAGATCTTCGCTAGGACTTTTTTTTTTAAAGAAAAAAAAACATACCATTATTGGATATAATACCTATTGCATTCTCGAGATGAGGCATCGTAAGACATTGCGGCAGTATCGTTGCCCAGTTATGGAGTTCTCCCTGGAGCGAGACTAGACGCCCTCGATTCTCCATTTCCATCTTCTGGGAGTCTGGTGGCGCAAGCCTGGGTATCTGACTGAGCCAGTTATCAGTCCTCCATCTTCGAAGTCAAAAGAGGTTTCAGGAACAGAAGGTACTTACAAACTGCAGTCCATTGCCTCTCGCAAGGTCTGACTTATCTTTACCAACTCCAGAAACCGCGCTCCAGAAGCAATATCAAATCCTACATTACACGAATAGACCAGTGATCGCAAGTCCTCAGGAACTCTCTCATCGGATCGCAGATCTTCCATAGTGACGAGTGACGTGTTAAAAGAAGCAGGGTAGATATGGGGCGGGTTTCCGTGGCACACTGCCGACCATACGTCAGTCATATACGTAGCCCACCAAAGCTTCCTCCGCAGCCTCTTTTCCCATGATGAGAGATTCCACTTCTCAGCATCCTGGTGCAGTCCAATCATCTGGGCAGTGGCTACGGCCTGCGCTGTCGATATCCAGGTTTTGGGGTGCGCGATACTGTCTGTCCTGTTGGGCGTCATGTGGAGGAGGAGCAGGGATGCTTGAAGCTTCGCTAAATTTGGCGAGTCGAGTTCTCTTTGCAAAGAGCCTGTGGATAGGTCTGCGAGCTCATGCTGTTGGAAATGAAGGGAACCTTGTAGTGACGGCTCAGACTTCCAAAAGACTGAGGCTAGTGCGTATACTGCCCCTCGAAGGGAGGCAGGAAGCTTTGTCTTGTCTGCGGAGTATTGGTTAAGAAACCTGACCTTGGATAGAACAGGCAGCACTGGATGAATGTGTCTGAAGTACAGGCGTACGAGCGTAGGACCGTGAGGCTCAACAATTTCCTCTATCGCACGAGAAGCTTCTTCCCGGGCTTTGTTGTCGTGTGCTGTAAACTCGTCTTGCAAGAGACAGAAGTGAACCGGCGGATCCCACGGATATCCGCTCCCTTCGTGTACCTGAATGAATTCTGCGTCAATCTGATTGGGCCCGCTGAGAACGTCTGAGCGGAAGGAGGCGAGGAAGTGAGTGTCTTGTTCGGCTGCCGGGCCCATGCTGTGTGCTGTCCTATTTTCATTGTCTTCTAGTGTCTGCAGGTAGGGTGCTGGGATCACTTCGATTGAATCACTATGAGCCGAAGGGCGTATGTTGTTTGACGCTATTCTCGGAGATTCAGAGTTACTGGAAGGCCCATCTTGCGTAGCATCTTGAGGGGCGGGTGCGGATGCGAACAAAGATGCAGATAGAGCCGACCTGGAGGCAACACTATCCGAAGCCGATGACTTGCATTCTATGCCTCGCCCCTTGCAGAAAAGGCCTGCAACTCATCAGTCATACATCTTCAAGACTCGTCAACCTGGGAACCCACACGACTTACAAGGTGGTGTGGAGGTGATCACACACGCCGTCTTTCTCTTACGGCACGCGTCACAAGGGCGGTTCTTCCGGCTTCTCGATTGTCTTGCCTGGCCGAACTCGCTCGGCACCTTGAACCTGCGTCTTTGGGAAGACCTCTTAGTATTGTTAGGCATGGTGTCGATCAAGATTCCAATTCCATCGAGCGTTTGTGATAAGGTTGGCCGATGGTGGTGGTGTTATGTAAGGGAAGTTGGCCGACGCAGTTGGCCGATGCCGATACCGCCTGTGCGCATTTTGGTCATCAATGTTAGTGGCTTACATGCGGGACCTGTCACTGCGACGCTAGGGCGGGGTGATAACATGCTCCGCCGGTCAACACTTCACAAGGGTTTAACCCCCTTTCCCATATTACAACTGCAACCCTCATTCTTGCCATCGCTTTAAGCACGATTTATATCATGATAAGTCTCGCAATCTCATCATTATGAAGCTCTAAGTGCGTATTTCATAGACTGTGCCGGGTTAAGATAGCTTGATAAGAATTATAGCAGTGATGGGAACAGAGGTAGACGTAGGTAGTTAAGAAGAATATGGCAGGTACGGAAATTGTGTATGTGAGTTCTAGCATCTATACATCTTCTTTGAAGGGTGTGGCGGAGTTTGCTGTCTTGGCTCCAGGCCCAGAAAGCATTTCAAGAAGTTCAGGAGTTTCGGCCAGCGTCACGTCCCACTTGCTCTGTTGTATTCCTTGAAGTTCACGCGCTGAGGGCGCATCTTTGACAAAGGCATTCAGACTTCTCGCCGGGAAAAGCCAATGCAGTAACGCGTACACCAAGCCGCTCGAAAGAAGCCCATAGATATACGACATGGAGTACAGCTCCGTGGCGCCCTCACTAACAGTTGCGGACGTGTCGACGGCGGCGATGAAGCCTGGCATGCAGGGCACAACACCAACAAGCCACTGAAATGCGAGTCAACGGTGATTCTGTTTCAATAAAGATGGAAGGTAACTCACTGCCACTGGGGCTCGCCAGTTGAAACCGTAGGAGAACCAGTAGATGCTCCCCGAATCGCCGCGGTACAAGTGGTCCACGTTCACCTTGCTCTTATTAACAATCAAGTAGCTAGATATCATCAATCCTGTCATCGGAGCCAAGAAGACACTATAACTTGAAAGGACAGTGAGGAAGATTGTTGCAGTGTTGACGAGACGCCACGGGTTGACGACGACGCTGAAAATCGCGGTGATGTAAGCGCCACGACGGATGTTCAGGTACTTGGGAAATGTCGCAGCCAGGTCAAAGCCGCCAGCAAGCGCGTTTCCAGGGACATTGACTCCGATCTGGGATATAACGAGACAGAGACCCGCAAAGAAGCATGCTGCCCTCGTTCCGGCTGTTTCGTCCTGGGCCAGCAGCTGAGCAAAGAGCGTAGGCGGGTTCCAGATGGCCTCGCCACCAAATCGCTCCTGGGTCGCTGCAGTGACGAGGATGCCGATCAGAGAGCTGAAGATACTATAGAAAGGGAACGAGATAGCTTGGCCTACGATGGCATGCTTAGGTTGTGTAGCGAACCGAGAATAGTCGTTCTGGTTCAGAATGCCCGCCGCGATGGAACCGATTGTTGAGACGATGCCGTAGATCATCAACCAAGCCACACTGTCTGGTCCTCCTGTGTTAGTTAGGGCAGATCCTGAGGTAATGGTATCTCCGAAGCCCGAGGATCCCATAGTTGCGAGAGCCCAGATAAGGAGTACGATGAAAAAGACAAGAGTGATGGAGCAGGCAAAGTGGAAGAATTTCTCGAGACGGTGCGGGCGGATCCAGATTACTGGGAGAGAAATGACGCTGAAGATGATGTACGAGACAAATTGCGCAGTTGTCATACCCGTGTCTGCTGGCATGCCATTGGGAATGTGGGATTCAAGCCTTGGGTCCCAGGAAAGAAGGATCACGTAGATGCACTCTCCTCCCACCCAGGCAGTGAAACCATACCTGTGTTATAGTGTGTTAGTACAGGTCAACATGCTGGCAATGTTGATATCAAGGGTCCTACGAACCAGACTAGAAACAGGCAGAATGAGTTTATGGTCCGTTATGTGACGTGGTTGTATTGCGAGTAGGGAAACTTACCAAGGGACAGAAAGATGCGATTCCAGATGACGAATTGTGATCCCCACATACCCCATACCGCTCGACTGAACACAGGAAAGCCAACTAGGTAGACTTAGCAACCAAGGAAGTCTGCCGCCAATTGCACTTTGTAAACGTACTATGATAGTAGCTGCCCGGAAGTGAGTTGATAATCACGACGGCGGTGGCAATAAGATTGCCAAGAATGATACCTTGAAACACGTTAAACAGACCTGAGGAGAAGCGAAAGAGGAATCAGACTCACATATGAAGGCCTGCCACCAAGCTAGACCTAGAGGGATGAGGGCACTGCCAGTCAAGTAGGTGGTGATATTGCAGTTGACCAAGAGCCCTTGGAATCAGTCAGCACAAAGAGGACCTAGTACAAACAAGCCTTCACGCACAAAAGTTGTGAAACGTCAAGAAGCCCCAGGTACGTCTTTGAGCCTCAATGGGTCGAATGTCATCGTTCTGTCAATTATTGCGTTAGTGTTGTCTTGACTAACAATGGTAACAGCCGGCCACATGAACGATGTGCGGGGCTGGGCCGAGTTTACGTACCATCCAGCGGGAAACATAGGGGAGTTCCACCTGCTGGAAGGCGGCTTGCAACCCCATTGTTTCCTTTGATGTTGGCTATTGTGGAGCAAGCAAATGGAACGATGTTGCAAAGAGTTGTGGACGAAAGGGACCTTGTCTGTTCGAGTCCTTCGCTTCGGGCATGAGTGCGGCACGAGACATGCATGATTTGAAGAGGAGTTCCGTTGAAGATATAAATGTCGGTCTATGGTGGTGTTATCTTAGCACTCTTCAGTCATCCCACGTTGCGCTAACAAGGATACTTATCACGCTCTAAAGCGCTTTCGGAAATTCTAGCGGGTGTTATCTCAACGTAGGGGGAGGAGCAAAGGGCCCCGGCTGGGGATGACCCCTGTCCAGGCTGAAGTTGGCCGATCGATCGGCCAACTTGGAGGTCATGAACCCCTCAGGCGGGGCTCCTGACGACTGAGTGCCACAACTTACACGGACGCTAGTAGTTGACCTAGACTCTTCGATCATTGGAAACTTCGTCGGTGCTGTTGTCGGCCAACTTCTTATCGAAGTCTTGGTTGGCTGAGTCTGCCTTAGCTTAGGTAACCTCCTTTGTTAAGAGCTTTGCCATCCGCCATCCACCATAAGAAGAGGTAGACAGAGCAAGTAGTGTATTACTGGACGCAACCACACCGTATGTCGCCCTTCAACCTCACTCCTCACCTTCAACACCATACGTGAGTTCATCAATCATGGGACTTTACCGCATAGGTGTCGACGTAGGTGGCACGAACACCGACGCCGCTATCCTTGACATTACGGCCTCAGACACGCCCGGCCGCGGTGTCCTTGCTTCCCACAAGGCCTCAACAACACCAGACATTACCACAGGCATAGAAGCAGCAATCCACGCTGTTATTCAGAGCTCAGAAATCGATCAGAAGCGAGTCCTGAGTGTGACCATAGGCACAACGCACTTCATCAACGCTCTTGTTGAGGCTGACACGCGACGGCTTAGCAAGGTCGCTGTCGTCCGTCTCTGTGGGCCATTTACAAGACAAATTCCCCCATTTTCGGACTTCCCCTCTGGTCTTCATCGTATTCTAGATGGTGGTGTCTACTATCTCGATGGGGGGCTGGAGATCGATGGTCGGGAGATTGCGCCGCTCGATCATGAGCAGATTCGCCAGGCGGCCAGAGACATCGTCGCGTCTGGGGTGAGATCAGTTGCCCTAGTCGGTATCTTTTCACCTCTGGATCACTCCGGTATGCATGAAGAGACTTGTAAAAGAATCATGCTGGAAGAAGTGCCGGGTCTCGATGTGGTTTGCTCCCATGACATAGGCCCACCTGGCCTATTGGAGCGAGAGAACGCGACAATCCTCAATGCCGCAATTCTCAGAACAGCCCGCAAGGTCACCCGAGGTTTCAGAATCGCAATGACGAAGCTAAAGCTGGCGTGTCCGCTTTATCTGTCCCAGAATGATGGCACACTGATCGATGCTGATACGGCAGCCGAGTTCCCCATCAAGACCTTCGCCAGCGGTCCGACTAATAGCATGACTGGAGCGGCTTTTCTCGCCGGACTGGATCAAGCAAAGACGACGACCAGAGATCCTACCGATACCCCGGAAAAGAAGGAAGTGGAGCCTCAAGTGCTCGTCGTTGACATCGGCGGCACAACCACAGACGTATGCGCGTTGCTACCGTCTGGCTTCCCTCGACAAGCGCCTGGGTTCGTGGAAGTTGGGGGCGTGAGAACAGCATTCTCAATGCCCGAGGTCGTTTCCATTGGGCTCGGTGGCGGCAGCAAAGTCAAGATGAACTCCGAATTAGGGGGTGCTACAGTCGGCCCAGGGTCAGTTGGGCACTTCCTTACTGAGCAGGCAAGGATCTTTGGCGGTCCGACACTAACAGCAACGGATGTTGTGGTGGCTTCTGGGAACGCGAAGCTGGGAGACGCGAGCCTCATCAAAGACGTCCCAAGCTCAACCATCAACGACGCGCGTCAGAAAATCAAAAAGATGCTGGAAGGTGTTATTGAGCAGATGAAGGTTTCCGCTGCCCCTGTACACGTCCTTCTGGTGGGAGGGGGTGCTCTTCTGGTCACAGACAATCTCGAAGGCGTCGAGAAATGTATTCAGCCCATCCATCAAGGCGCTGCTAATGCGGTTGGCGCTGCTATTGGCAAGGTTTCTGGGGAAGTCGACGTGATTGAGATTCTTGAAGGGAGGGACGAGAAAGCAGTCGTTGCAGCGACGTGCCAAAAGGCTATCGATCTGGCCGTCCAAAAGGGCGCAGCTTCTGCAAACGTCCGCGTCGTCGAGGTCAACAAAATGCCGCTTCAATACGTCGATAATGGCGCAATGAGGATAAAAGTCAGGGCTGTCGGCAAATTGAGCGTTCCCGAGGATCCCAATTTCTCGCCTATGAGCATGACGCCAGTCGAAGAAGAGGATAAGGAGGCCGAGGCGCCAAAGGAGAGTGTTCCGGACGCTCTAGAGCCGACCACCAAGCCCTCACTACGGACAGATCTCGAGACCTACCGGCCTGACGTCCGAGAAGGGGTCTGGTACGTCTCAGAGGTAGATCTGGAATTGATTTCAACAGGCTGTGGTGTGCTAGGAACTGGGGGCGGAGGTCCAACCCACCACGAATTCTTGAAAAGCTTGCATGTCCTACGCAATAGCGAGCCTGGCAAGATGAGAATTATATCACCTTCGTCCCTCGCCGACACTGACATGGTATGCTTCGGCTCCTGGTATGGCACTCCGAGCGTCATCAACGAGAGAATTGCTGGTGGCTCAGAGATCCCCAGCGGCATCGATGCCGTGAGAAAGATCTTGGGTAATGTACCCCTTCATGGGGTTTTCATCGACGAGATGTGAGTCGAAAGTCCAAGGTCGCTTAAGCATGTTGACCGACAGAGGGTAGTGGCGGAGGCAATGGGCTCAGTGTTTTCCCAACCGGCGTACACTATGACATGCCGGTCATCGATGGCGACGCGATGGGAAGAGCATACCCAACCATGTATCAAGGTAACAAATGGAAGTCGATAGACGAGCCATGGCCAGCTAACAAAGTGTCTTGAACAGCTACACTGAGCGTCTATGGTCACCCGTTGACCCCATGTGCGCTCTCCGACGCAAGGGGCAACGTTTCCATTGTGATGGTAGGTTCTCGCTTTCGAGTACAGCCATCTTTTCACGCTGACTCGGTTCAAACATAGAGTTCCGACACGCCAATTCGCCTGGAGCGATTCCTGCGCACAGCAGCAATTGAACTCGGCCTCGGATGCGCCGTTTGCGCCAGGCCGCTTCCCGGCTCGGCCATAAAGTCCCACGGCGTCCCCAACACTCTATCGCAAGCCTGGTATTTAGGTCGGGCGGTACATATGGCGCGAAAGAGGAAGTCTGACTATGTCAATGCTATCGTGAGTACCTACATTGTCATACGCACCGTTTGGCTCTGAGTAGAGACTACCCCTGAAGAACCAGGAGGAATCTCTCCTGCTACTGCTTCCCATGATGCTGTTCCGAATATTTTTGTCTGATCTGCTCTCAGTTCGAATTATGTGCCGGGAAGCTTCTTTTTACCGGCAAGATCATCGATGTAAGGCGCTATGTGGGTGGTGGCTACACGATGGGCAGCGTCCTCATTGCCCCCCTTGCAGACGAAGAGAAAGACTCCGATACAAAGAACACATCGCTTCCAGATCGGCATATACTCATCCCGTTTCAGAATGAGTACCTTTACGCTGCTCTCACAGATGAAGAGGGTTCAGAGGGCGGCCAGCAAGAGGTGTTGTGTACCGTGCCGGATCTGATCTCGATTCTAGGCCAAGATGGGGAGGCTATCGGGTCTCAGGATCTCCGCTACGGCTTGCGTGTGAATGTTATCGCGCTACCTGCTCACCCTCTCTGGAAGACAGAGAAAGGTATGCCCGTGGGAGGCCCTCAAGCCTTTGGGCTGAGCATGCCATTCGTTGGGGTTGGAGAGTATACCGAGCCCAGGAGTGTCATTGAGGAGTACGAGGTGTAGGAGATTACGACACGTTATCCGTGGAAGGTTCTCATGGCACGGGTTCACAACCAGTCATTGCGACACAGAAATTAGGATCAAGGTCAATTTCACGAATAGCATGATGAACGTGGTTTATTGCATTGAGAATACCATCCTCTGCCTAACCACAGCGGAAATTGGCATCTATGTCGGCTAATACTTATGCCAACCCTTCGCAATATCCTTTCCGTGATTTCTACTTCGTGCTCCGCATTCTACACTTCCGTCTCATCCAGGATGTGCTGAAAAGGGAGAGAATGGGGTATCGGATGAGCTTCGAGGTCTCTATTGGCCAAAAGCACGGTAGTGACACTCCGCAGACCGCTTGACTACGCCCTAGAAGGTGAAGAAAGTTAGGCTCAAAGTTCAAAGAATGATATGAGATTACCACGAGAATGGGGTGTAAGAACTTACCTCGCCCGTAGTGTTCTTGATGATCTTGCACCAAGGACCGTTGGCGATCTTGTTGCCCCATTGCTTCATGGACCATTCCTGGGTATGACCACCGATCTCCGATTTGAGCTCGTAGGGCTGATCACCATCCTTGAAGGAAATGGTCAGCTTAGCCCCCGAGTTGTCAGTGGTGACAAGCTCATGAGGAAGCTTGACAGGACCTCCGCCATTGCTGTCTCTGTTCGTGACAACGTTGACCTCCTTTCCTTCCTCGATCTGGACAATAGTGACTGTCGCAGTGTGATTCGAGGTGCCATCACCCAAAGAAATGTCCTGGGTGATGCGGGCGATGCGCCAGATCTCAGCCGTAGAGGTCGGAGCGGCAGCCGAGGGCGTGATAGTCAGGGTGACATCGATGTCATTGGTGACAGTCACTTCGGCAGTGGTGGTGACCCAGACGACAACCTTGCTCTTGGAAGAAGGGGAGTTGCTGACAGGAGAACCAAACGTCAAGGTTCTGCCGAAGGATTGACCGCCAGGGGAGCCAGACGTCGAGGCCCGGTCGGAGGTTTGACCGCTAGGGGAGCTAGCCATCGAGGCTTGACTGGAGGACTGACTACCAGGGGAGCCAG